CACTCGGGAGGCAGAGACAAGAAGATCTCTGTGAGTTCAAGGCCAGCCTGGTCTACATAGTGAGCTCCTAGACAGCCAGGATTACATAGAGAATAATAGAGAGGGTGTTCTGAGGTGCCAGAAAGCCAGAAAGCTCAATCACAGACCCTTCCTCAGGAGGAAAAGAAAAGCCAGTCCTTGAACCCTAAACTTTTCCACCCAGTCAGGGGCAGGGACAAGGGCGGGGCAGGGGGCAGGTATGTTCCTGTGTCTCTTTTCTGGTATCATGGAATGCTCAGAGTTCAGTGGATCATCTTCATTAGTCTGTGTGTTAAACCAATGAGAAGATCAAGGTTCAGAAAGACAAAGTAGCTGCCTCAGGGTCACACAGTTAATCTGTCTTCCCAGTAGGAAGAGAAAAAACACTCTGCCTGAGTCCTTGGGACCTGAGGCAGGACAGAGCTCTCCCATCCTTCAGACAGCTCTGACCTCATGGAGAATCAAGTGGCATGGGATGTCTGTCTCCCTGAGAATGGCTAGAAGTCTAGAGGAGCATCCTATAGCCTCGTTGAGCAGCAAGCCTCTTCTATCCCTCTCTTCCCAGACTCAGCATCCTGCTGACCTTTCAAATCCATCACCATGCTGTCCTGTTCTGGAGATGCCAACCCTCCAGAGTCGGAAATCAGGGTGGAGGAGGAAGCCAGTGACGGACCTGGCCTGCTCCCAACCCAAATTATAGAATTCCTTCTGACCCACTTTTGGGTTCTCACAAACCCACGCCTCCTCACAACATAAGCACAGATTGTCCCTACACTCACACTGGCTTAGAGGTTGGGAGCGAGAGGGGACAGTCATCTGGGAACTCTTTTGCAGCTTCTGCATGTTACTGGCCTATTTGTGTGCACAAATATATGAGACTGGCTTACAGCCAATAGATCAAAAATCCCAACCCCCTGATCTGCAGCCTCTGGGATGACCCATGATGTCCTGGATGCAGATACCCAGATCCTTAGCAGACGAAGGAACTAATCAAGCAACTGTACTGTCCCTAACATAAGGAATGAGGCAGGTTGTGGGCCAGCTCCAAAGACAATATTTCACCTGATGCTTTCTGTATGGCAGGGGTGACCTGCAGGGAAGCCCTTCTTCCTGGGACAAGAAGCTTCCTCAGTGTACATTCATGCCAGCCTCCCAATCTGAAGCCAAGTGAGAAGAAACTGAACTCAGGCCAAGCTATCCTAGAACTCTGCACTCCCTGTCCCTCCAGGCCAGGGCCATTGTCACTTTCCAATGAGATGCTGCTCCTTGCTGGGTGGCCTTGGAAGCTGATAAGACACTAGCCAGGGAACACTTGGCTCACTGTAGTTGACTCCCCCCACCCAACCCCATTCAATAGGTCCTGGATCCAAGTTCTGGAGCTGGGGGCACAGCTCAGTTGGTACGGTGCTTGCCTGGTGTGCACAAAGCCCTGAGTTTAATTCCCAGCACTGAAAAAAGTGGGCACAACAGTGCAAGCTTATAATCCCTCACTGGAATACTGAGCCTGTCTCAGAGGGAAAAACAACAAAATCCCAGCCCTGCCATTGCCTAGCTGTGGATCCCCAAATAGGTCACTCGATGTCCCCGTGCCTCAGTTTCTTTGACCATACAAGGGTAGATGGCCAAGGGACAACTGTCTCACGGGTTGTGGAGGGACACATGAGACAATGCATATTGGGAAGACTCACTGCCATCCCCGACTCAACATGGATTAACAGTGTGCCTTTGGCTGCCACGCGCTATGTTCAACACTCACAAATACAATTAAAATTTAATGGAAGTGGAGTGCAAAGCAGAGAAGAGCCAAGAGGAAAGAGAACAGCTGGTTCTTCCCGGCCAAGCTCTTTGGAGCCAGCCCTGGAGATGCAGTGTAATGGCTCTCTCTTCTCAAGTGCCCATATCCATGAGGCCCTGCACACCGTGTTCCAAGACCTATAGACAAATCTGACCCAGCTCTGCAGTGAGTGAATTTGGATATGGGAGCACTGAAGAGTGGGACTCATAAAACGCATAAGACTGTCCTGGGCAAAGAACTTTGGAGCCGTGGAGCCAGGCTTAGCCCACTAGCTCCCTAGCTACTTCATCATGAATCTACTCCTTTCTAGGAGAAGAGACCAACAGGCCTGAGATGTGAAGGCTCTATGCCCACTAGAGGGGAGTGCTCACACAGAGAACGATAATCTGAAGGCCCTCCTTACCCAGCCAGCTCCATACACCCAAGCCTCTCTCTCCTCTGGTCCCTCTGACACGAGCCCCATTTTCCCCATTCATCGGTCAGCTGTTCAGTGAGACAGCCCCTCATCCATGTTACTGATGTGCTGGATCCTGTTCCAAGAACAGCACACCTCTTGCTTGCCTCTCACTCACCAGTGGCCTCGTGGCATCTGTGATGACTTATGAAGCAGGGTCAAGCGCAACCTGGCAGTCCCTCAGGGACTCCCTCAAAATTCCTTTTTCTCTTACGAAGAGCTGATGTTTTCCTATTTTTCAGAAGAGCTGACTGGATGGAGATGGATGTAAAGACCCGGGTCACAGAGTCTGATTGGGGGCCCCCAGCTCTTAGGGCAAGATGAGAAGTGTGTGCAACACTGGCAGAGTCCCTCCAAGTACAGCCTGTGCACCACACAACTCCAGGAGGCGCCATTCACACTGTGGCATGGCTACAGTTATGCAAGGCAATGGCTCGGAGCTAGCAGCCTTTTTGCCTTTCAGTAGAAGCTGCCAACAGATTCCCACAAGGCCACGCCCTCCTGCCTCATCCTCTTTGTCCTACTTCCCTCTCTGACCCCATCCTCCTGCAGCCAGGGCTCCCCAAAATGGGGCCTTAAAATCTGTGTGTTTTCAAGGCACAAATACCCCCCTCTCCACCACCAATGCAGGCTCTATGAATCCTGCAGGCACTGGCCCTGTAATTTTAATGCTAGTACCTTTCTTCTGATGGGAGTAATGATGACATCAATACAGGGAGACAGGTGGGCAGCCCTGAGCTGGAGGTCAAGCCAGTCAAGCATTTATTGGTACCCACTGTGTTGGCTGCTGGAAGCAGGTGGATGGAGAGAAGGGAAAGGAAACTTTTTATTTTTAAACCCTCACTATTATGATTAAGTGTTTCTTTCTCCCTCTGACCTTCACTAGTCCCAGGCAGATCAAGCAGCCAGAGAGTCAGAGGGAGGCCTGGACCAGTGACACATGGATTCCTTCCGGAAGGACCAGCTTGCTACTGCCCCTTCGTTGCTGGACTGCAGACTGTGGCAGGGGACTGTGCTAATCTGGGCTGGTCCTGCAGGTACCTGGGGAAGGCCTTGCTGGGTTGTAGGCTGTCTAGGCTGGTGGGGCAAAGATGGAGATCAAGGCCCACTAATGTGGTCCCTGGGACCTGCATACCTGGGGACCTGGATGTGGTTGGTTGCACCTTCCCTCTACAAATGAAATCATGTCAGTTTGACTTTGAAAACAAAAAACATGCGAATCTCTGCTTCTTCTCATACTGTGGCTGGGTGCCCTATGTGTGTTTAAAAAATAATGTCTAGACAGATAACCCAGGCCGATTCCAAAAAGAAAAACTGCAAATGCCAGTTATACATGCTCTAACAGAAAGCATTCCCGGGTCCCCCACCCCACCCCCGCCCGCCCGCCCGCCTTCTGGGTCACCGAGCATCTGTTTTCTCAGTAATAACCGGCAGCATGCCTTATCAGCAGTGGACCTTACCGAATTAAAACAAGCTCTTTATTCTGAAACAGAATCAAACTGTTGAATAGGAAAAAAAAAGACATCTAAAGAACTTGTGGATGTTTAAGAAGTGAGGACAGTCATGGTGTGACTTGTCTTCTACTAGGTGAGTAGAATAAGAGATTCTGGGAAATGAGGAGTAAGAGCCCAAAGTAGAAGTGGCTTTCAGAGGTCAGGGAATCAGCTACCGCCACATCACCACATTGAAGGGCGATCTACATATCCAGGCCCATTCCCCCTAGCCCCCCATCGCCTCCTGAGGTGCCCAGAAGCAGCCACACCCTCCCTTCCTCACCCCTGCCCACGCCACCATCTGCGAGGTGCGGACGCTGCCTGCCGCCCTGTGGGAGGGAACCCGCCTCTTATTCCCTCCCTGATCTACAGGTGCTGGTAAACAGAGCTGCGGCGTCCGCCGGTCCGCAGCCTCCTCCCCACCCCCACCCCCAAGGTTAAGTCTGGTTGTGGCAGGCGTCCGCCAGGGCCCCCCAATCCAGCTCCTGAGGTTCTTGCTTCTGTTTCTCACGCTCTCCGAACTAAGGATGGGTCACCTGGGTTTCTAACCTTGCTCGCTCGCCAAACATGCTCCAGAAGAGCCAGAACCCTAGCTTGACTCTGGTGGCCAGGGCCTTGGGCATTTTCACTGTGCCTCCCTCCCCCCATTAAGGGACACGCCTTCCACTATCTCTTAAAAGGGTTAGGGGAACTCTGCTCCAAACTCAAAATCTGACCACCTCTCAGTCCTTAGGCCTTCAATCCCCTTCTTGCGAAGCCTAAGGTGGGGACGGAGGACACCCATGCGGCGGCTACCTTCCTTGCCGGCCCCACCCAGACCTGCTGCCTTTGCCAAGGCTCGTGTGTGCAGCCTGCAGCATCCACCCGGCGGGGGGCTGGACTGGAGTGGGGGGGGTGGCTGATGGCAAGGAAGGGACAGGCGGGGCCCAGCAGTAATCCGGGCCGGGGTCCCCACATCCCGCACCTCTTTTCTGCGACAAGCCACCGGGCAGACCTTGTCGCTAGCCTAGGACTCTCGAGGAGGCTGCGGGACTGAAGGTCCCATTGCCGGTGGCCACAGGAACACTAGAAGGGCGCGGGTTTAGGACTCTCGGTGTTGTTTACTCTTGGCGCAGTTAGCCCGGCAGGCCGGAGAGGCTCTGGCTCTGACACGCGGTGGCGGCTCCCAGCGCGCTTGGGGTCTCTGCTCCCCGCCTCCCTCCCGGAACCCGCGCCCGGCCCTCCGCGCCCCGCCGCTCACGTCTCGGAAGCGGTTCCAGTGCTTAATCTTGCCGCTGTACTGAGAGATGGACGACAGCCATTGCTCGTCCTCCATGAAATTGCCTGGGGTCTCGCCCTCCTTGAGCCCCTTGGTGTCGCCTTCAGCCAGCGCGACCACTGCGAGGAACAGCAGCGGCAGCGCCAGCCGCCCGTAGCCCGGAGCGTTCATCGTGGTCTGAGCTTGGACCTTGGGGGGGGGGGGTTCTCGACTTCTGCAGGATTTGATGTTCTTCCCTCCAACGCGCCGTTGGCGAGGCGTTGCGGTCCTCTTCAGCCCTCCTCCTGCGCTCTGACTCCAGTGACTGACGGAGGGTGGGTCGTGGCTGAAATGTGACCTGGTTAGCAGATGCACTTGTCTGAAAAAGCCCAGCGCTGGACGCGGAGGAGAGAGAATCAGAGAGGCTGCGCCAGCGGGGGCTGTGTCTGTAACTGTAGCATCAGCATCACGTTTGACATCATCATACCTGGTTTAAAAAAAAAAAAAAAAAGGAGGGGGTAGATTTCAAAGCAGAGTGCTGGATCAGAGCAGCCAAGCTGCAGCGCAGGGCTGCGCAACCCAGCCCAGCTCCCGGGGAGTTGCAAACCAAAGAAGCAGAACCCTAAGATGTCCCTGCTGTCTATATCTAAGGGTGGATATTATAGAAGAGCCCCGGGGTCTTTCACAGGGCCGCAAAGGGGACGAAAACTCTCGGGTTACCAAGCCAGTCGGGCTCAGGTGTCTAAAAGGGAATCTGGCCACAGAGTTTCTTCTCCCCTTGCCTCCTCTCCTCCCCAACCCCCGAGTGGCCTGTGCCACAGTTCTGACATCTGGCTCCCTGCGAGTTAAGGCGCTACGGTAATGGGTGGTTTCTTTAAGACAAAGGCGGTCTAACAACTGGCTGCCTCTGAACTATTGCCCCTCAGACCCACAGCTCTTTTCAGCGCATGGCTCGAGCACTGAATGGCTGGTAAAACAAGGGCAGATGTCCTCCTCCCCAAGCAGCTGGCACCGTTTTGTTAGCTTTTCCGAGGGCAACACGAAAGGACGGTCGTCTAGTCATCTCATTTGCCTTGATTCTGCAAATCTAGACAGGCCCATTTGCTTGTGGTTTGACTTCATGTTGAGTTTGATAAGCCATCGGGGAAGGTGACAAAGTGGGAGGAGGCTGGTTTTTGTCGGAGGTTGTTTAGGTTTTTGTTAAAACTGTGACCCTCGTCATTGCCTATAGACAAAGGTGGGAAGGCTGACAGCTGGGCACAGACCCATATCAGAGTAGAAATGGGATTTACATTACAAAATAAATTGAAGAGTATGATATGAGAAAACATATTGAACTATTGGGCCCCAAGCCCTAGAATGTGTTTTTATAAAAAGGATTTGGCTACTGTGAGGTTAGGATAAAAAAAAAATCAAAGACAATGGAAGAACGTGATCTTAATCAGTAGGAAAAAACACAGGTTATGAGGTTTATAGTCATACTGGGCCTGGCAAGCCTGAGTATTGCATGCCTCAGTGGCCTGGGCTGGGAGGTGCCCTGGGGAAAACACAAAACAATAGTTCCCCTTTGTGTTTCTTGGATTCCCTGTGGTGCTGCTGCAAGCTCTACTGAAGCCTGCATCCCACAATTGATGGGGTGGAGAGGTTAGCTTGTCATATGGACTGGAGGGAACTGAGGGTCCCAGTTTCTATCTAGAATTAATGCTAATGCTACCTACACATAACATACAATGGCTATGAATCTTGATCAAAATTATCCCAGACTCTTAAAAAACAAAGCTGTCTGTCCCTCGGGTCAGAAAGAGGTTATGATCATCCATTGTTCTGAAGATTTACCAAATCTTGCCATCTTTCCCCCATCTTCTTAATCCTGGTCTTTTTTATTTCAAACAGGGTCTGCTATAGCCCATGCTGGCTTCCAACTTGTTATGTAGCTTGAGGGTGACCTTTCAACTTCTGATACTCCTGTCTCCACATCCCAGGTGCCTCCTGGTTCATGTGACACTAGGGACCAAACCCAGGTCTCCATTCATGGTAGGCCAGCAGTGTTACCGACTGAGGCACTTGGCCCCGAGTCCTAGGCTTTCAGTAGAGTTGTCTACACACCTGCCTCCAAAGCATTTAGCAGACAGCCCAGATGCACCAAGGGTTCTGGTGGTCTAGTTACCAGAGCTGCTTAACAATGAGCATAGAAACCAACTGGATGCCCTTCAGGAAGTCATAGCTGCCTTCAGACCCATGAAGGTCAGAACGTTTTCCACACATGGACAGTTCATCCAAGGGGACCTGCCTCCTGCAGCACCACAACACCACTTAGCTAAAGCAAAAGGCAACATTATTTAGGAGGAAGAGTACACATTGTGCAAGATAACTGATAACCTTGTTTATAAAGAAGAAAAAGGGGTTTCTTCTAGAGAATTATTGGCAGGTCAGCTTCTCCAAACCACAGGCCTCAAATATGAGATGCTGCTAAACAGATTTGTTAAACTGTGTGTATGTCTTTTATATTTTTTTCTGTTACATTTAATATTTGGCAATACAAAATGGAAAACCTTAATTTTCTAATAAAAATGCCAAATCTGTGTCTTAAAAACATCATTCTCATTTCTAGATGCTATAAGTTCAAAAAGATAATTGCAGAAATATACTCACTTGGAAATTTTTCATAACAACCGTATCTAGAAACCAATCAATATCTGTTTGTGATGGCAATTCTTGGTTATCAACTTGACTACATCGGGAATTAACTAAAATCCAAGTGGCTGGGTGCACCTGTGAGGGGTCTTTCTAATTAAATTATTTGAGGTGGGAAGACCCATCTTTAATCTGGGCCACACCTTCTGCTGGCAGCCTATGTAAAGGACGTGGAAGAAAGAAGCTCTTTGCCTGCCCATCCTCACTGCTCCTAGCAAGTTCACTCCTTCATTGGCATCAGAGACTACTTCTCTGGGACTCTGGTGTAGACTGAAAACCAGCTGAGACATCCAGTCTCATGGACTAAACTACTGGATTCTTCAACTTTCCAATGGTGACAGCCATTGTTGGATTAGCTAGATCACTGACTATAAGCCAATCTAATAAATTTCTAATAAAATTCTATAAGGTCTGTTCCTCTAGAGAACTTGAATAGTAAACTATTAATAATCAGTTTGTTAAACTTAAAACTGTATCAACAGCTGGTCCCAGTGGTATGCATCTGTAATTCCAGAATTTGGAAGGCAGAAAACAAGAGGGTCACTTCAGCACATGGGATTTAAGATCTGCCTGGGTAATACAGCGAGAGTCTACTTCAAACAAAAAAGTATCTACAAAAAACTACTATACAGACATGAAAAATGATGTAGATCTCTACCTATTGAAAGTAATTTGATCTATTTATTACAGGGTGGGAAGAGCTCGTCTGGTTTATAGTTTATGGGCTGGGGATGCAGGCCAGTGGTAGAGTTCTTAAGTAACATGATTTCCAGTGCTTCAAAACACCCCCCCCCCAAATAATCCTTGTGTCGTTTACCTTTGTATTACTGTGACAAAGCACCTGAGAGAGTTTCTAAGACAGTGATTGTATCCTATGCTTTTGGAGGATCCCTGCTGCTTTGGTTTGGTGTCAGCCTCACAGCAAGAGGGGCTGAGGGAGCCTGCTCATTTCATAGAGGCTGGAAAGCCAAGAGAAAACAGAGGCTGGGGGCCCAATATCTTCTTTAAGGAATTTCCCTCCAATGGCCTAATTTCCTTCCACAAGGACCCACTTCCCAATGTTCCACTCCCTCCTAAAAATGCCACCAGTTAGTGACTAAGCTTTTAAACACGTGACCTTGGGGAAGGAGCAAGCTCCAGCAGTCTCATTTACAAGACCCCATTTGGAAGACAGTACAGTACAGCAGTATCAGGTTTTAACCCTCTAGTTGAAGAAGTCTTTCACATCAAAGTATTACTGAGGACATGCAAGAACTTCAGTTTGTATACAACAGACATCTCCACATTGACATTTAGTTAGTATACTTGAAAACAACACTAAGAATTTAACAGTATACTTAAAAAAATGTTCCTCTTTCATATTAACAGAACAATAATGTATTTTATGAGAAACAAATCCCTCCCAATTTGGGGGGGGGGAAAGTAGTATTGTTTTCTATTTTTACAAATCCCTTTAATGTCTGGTTCAAAGAAAGACAGGTAGCCTGTGAGCCTGTGGCCCCAGCAGCTGTCTGTGAAGGCTGCCATAACAAAGTGCAACAGACCAAAGTCCTCCACAGTCAGTTTATTTTCATAGTTCCTGAAGCCAGAAGTTCAAGATCAAAGTGTTGGAGTTTGGTCTCTCCAGAGACCACTGTTCTTGGTTTGTAGATTACTACCTTCTCTCAGGGTCTTTACAGGTTCTTCCTCTGTGTGAGTGCTAGTCCTGTGTCTTCATGAGTGAGTCCCAATTTCCTCTTAGGGACTCCAGGCCAGTGGGACTTGGGTCCACCCTAATGCCCTCATTTTCACTTAACTGCCTCTCTAAAGTCTCTGCCTCCAAAAACAGTAACATGGAGGTATTGAGGTGTGAACAGAACACAATTCCTAATAACAGGCGGAAAAGAAAACCACTAGTAAGAACACAGAAATACCTACGACAAAATGAATTAGTGAACCTCTAAAATCACACAATGACTATAAGAAAAAAAATTATGAATGAGTGTTGTGCATTAGATCCTATTACAGATAGCTGTGAGCCACCATATGGTTGATGGGAACTGAATTCAACCTCTGAAGAGCAGCCAGTGCCATCTCTCCAGCTTCCATAATGGATTCTAACATCCTAGAAAACACAAAACACACAAGTATATACTGCATTTAACTACCAGAGTGACATCATTGTATCAATGGCCTCTTAGACAGTAAAAAGGCAAAAACCACCTTGCCACTTTTATGGCATTAGTCTGGATCTCACAAACCCCTCCTAGAAAATTTCTGGGAATTCCTGGTCATCCAAAACCATTCTTTGAGACCGACGGCCTCAGGCAAAATTTTTAATCCTTTAAAATGCACGAGCACAAGTGCATGCATTGTCTGTGTGACATGTATGCAGTTTCTCACAAGCCAGAAGAGGGCACTGTAATTCCTGAAGCTGGAGTTACAGGCAGTTGGGAGGTACCCCACAGGAGTGCAAAAACCAAATCCAGGTCCTCTAGAAGAGCAGCAAGTACTCTTAACTGTCTCTCTAACTCTAGATTTCTTAATCTTGTTAATCCTCAATTTGAAAAATAGGGATAATAATAATAATACCAAGTCCAGTGGATTGCTGTGAAGGCTGAATCAATGTGCAAATACATGACAAGTAAGTGTGTTCTATTAATATTGACTAATACTGTTTGAAAAAAAAAATCTCAAATTTGGCCAGGCATAGTGGGCATGCCTTTAATCTCAGAATTTGGGAGGCAGAGGCAAAAGGATTTCTATGAGTCTAAGGCCAATGTGGTCTGCATACTAAGTTCCAGGACAGCCAGCCAAGGCTACATAGAGATACTATCTCAAAAAATAAAACCA